AATATAATTTTAAAAATGTCCTATTAAACTCTTTACCGCGAGGAGTAGCTGAGAACATTCTTGAAAGATGGTTATCAGAAGCTCCCACGAGTGTCTCAATGGGAGGTCCTGGTGGGATGTCCCCATCACTTGCTCAGGGCCAGACTAGAGTCGCATTCGGTAGTACTGGGGGACGTCCCAGCCGGGACATCCTGCGTCCCAACTAGGTCGTACTCGGGATGTGTTCAGAACTAAGGCTTGTCGACTGGTACCATGCTGAACTCGTCAATTATTACAAATTTCACATTGCATAACAAATTGCGCAATTTTTGCAGGCTTGCACCTCGCAACTCTTCATTATCTAGGGATCTCAAATTTATGTTTAAAACGGAATGCAGCGTTCCACCATTTATGTTGAGTGCACTGACCCCAGTTGGTCCAGCTACAAGAATGGAATCTGAACCAAATTGATTTTGAATAAGTTTGGTTATTGAACCAATTACAAGACTCTTCCCTGTACCAGCACGTCCTTGAACTATAATTCTTTCTGGTAGATTGTTGTAGTATCATCAGTGCAAGTAAGTTCATGCTGTATTTGTGATTTCACGAGGTCCACAATAGCTTGTTGTTCACCAGTTAGTGTGACATCAGGCTATCCTATTGTTTGATTTTGTGCATGAACCCTTAAAGGCCCTTGTCGCTTATAAAATACATAGTCGAAAATCGCAGATATCACCGGGATGATGTGGCAGTTTTCGGGTTTCGAGGGTTCGTTTTTGAAGAGGTGTTTTCGGGAAATTGATCTAAGGCCCTTTTGACGTTCTGAGACCTCTATTTACCAAAACTATAAGCCTTCTAAGTCCAAAAACATGCTATAAAGGCAAATCGTGCAATTGAGTGTTTTCCGATGTGACCCAAGTAAGACCCATTGGTCGGGTCACTTCGAAAAAATTATTCCGATGTGCTTCAATGCTTACTGAAGCCGACTAGGGTAAGGGGCCCAGTAGTCGACAGTACACCAGTAGTCGACACTTTCAACTTTGCGATCGAATTCCCGCGAGGTAGTTAACGTTAGAGTCTCGGGCGTTTTGCCAGGCTTAGGCGCACTCTATTGAGAATACAATGAACCCATGGCCGATTCTGTGCCACCTTCGGGAGCCGGAAGGGAGCGCTTCGCACAGAACACTGCTCGTCGCTCCATATCGAGCAATCATTTCTTAGCTCCGGAGTAGTGGGCAGGTGTTTGCTCGGAAGGTTCTGTGAGGCTGCCATTCACTCGAGTAGTTCCGGAGGATGTTTGTGTTGTTGTCAAAGATATGTATTATCTTTCCCCATTTAGGTTTTCGAAAATTGCGGTCAGCCCTTATGAAAAGAAATCATTCCGAAACTAGCCCGGGGCTGTTCCAAAGTAGTTCCGCTGGCCTCGGACAGCTCCGTTTTCGATCCGGGACTGTC